TAAAGAGAGATTTCTCAACAAGACATTTAGGCAGGGACACCGAAGAAAGGATATACATAGGCGAAGAAATGAGCCCTGGCACAAACACTTATATTGGTTGGCGAGGCAAAAAAAAAGACAGCAGGAAAGATGAAGTATTTCTGGTTTGCAGGAGAAAATTTTGAATATAGAAGAGAGGACGGCTTCCCTGTCAATTTCATTGGTAAAAAAGAAGATATTGAAGCCATAGAATGAATATGTTCAAACGTTCCCTCCAACCCTTATGTTTTGAGAGTCTTTTATTTTTATTTTTTAACTTTGTTTACACAAGCAGTTGTTCATTTCACTTTATTACTATTATTTTCAAACGTAGATTTTTATTATTTTAAAATTAAACATTATTTTTTTCCATGGTGATTCCTGCTTACGTTTGCTAATTAAAATTTACGTTTATCTTTCTTTTCTATTCTTTTCTGTATTTTACAATATACTGTTTAAAAATGTACTCTCTCCACTCTAATCTTGACTTCGTTCTATCCCATCCTACTGATTATACTTTATTAAATTCCTTTACGATTAATACCTTAATATCCTACCACGTTAATCCCCAACCCCTTCATATATATTATGACGAATTCCTAGAGTATTTTCACCACAATTTCTACCATATTATTGCCGGATCCGAACCTTGGCTCAAACCTGATATCCCCTCACCATCTGTTTCCTTACCCGACTATACTCTCCTTCGTCAAGATCGGGCGGATTGATCTAGAGGAGTCGGTCTGTTCGTTCATGATAGCTTGAGGGTCAAAATCCTTTTAAAATCATCTTCTTCCGACATCCCATATATTGAATATCTATTTGTCCAAGTTTCCTCTAGAATCTTCTCCCTAATCTACATCGTTATTTACCGCCCTCCTCGTGTCCGATTTGATCCCACATTTGAATCCTCACTCCTTACACACATCCCTCTGTTTAAAAACACTAACGCGATCTCAACACTAACCTCCTTTCAGTCTCGTCGTACAGAACATACCTTATTGGCCTGTTTTTCTCCCTAGACCTATTTATTGTACCTTTTCAACCCACCCATGATACCGAGTCCACTGATACCTGGCTAAACTTATTTATCATTGATTCATCTCAAAATCTATTATCTTCCACGCAAAACCATGTTTCTTTTCTCTCATCCCATGATCTTATCGAAATCTCATACAATGTTATTATTCCTACCATTGTTCCCAAAGAGATCTTGATTTCCTAATCAGTTTCCTTAGAACCCACTTAGTACCTTTCTTCCTTAGATGACGTGGGTGGAACATCTTTCCTCTAACCGTCTTGATTTCCTTAACCATCAGGCTTCCCTTAAAAATAATACTTTTAGACGTCCTTCTGTTCCTTGGATAAATTCAGAAATTAGAGAGTTCATGAGAGGAAGAGAGGCTGTCAGAAGATGATACAGACGTACACGACTACCACAACACTACACTATATTCAAATCCCTACAGAACAGTACACAAATATCCTTACGCCGGACCAAAGCTCAATATTTTAACAATACACTATCCCAAGCACCTAATCCTAAATACAAATGGACAATCCTCAGGAAACTCTCTGTCATAAGCTCCAAAACCTGCACACTTTATCCAGTAGATCTGACCGAACTAAATTCCTTATTTGCAAACCATCCTACTTCTGTATTCACATCTGAACTATTACCTTATCCCATCACTGAAACCTCCTTTGGCACAGATAAGTTTTTTTTTTCTTGATATCTCTCCAACTGATCTACTCTCTACTATCCTTAAATCCAAAACCAACGACTATGGTCCTGACCCAATTCCTATGAAAATCATTAAACTCAGCCTAACAAATTTACTTCCTATATTCCTACACATCTATAACTGTTCCCTCTAAAATTCCATTTTTCCTAAAGCCTGGAAAAAAGTCATTGTCCGGCCGTTGAACAAAGTTTCAGCTCCTTCACTAGCTTCAGACTTCAGAACCATTTCCATTTTATCCAAGCCTCTAGAAATATTAGTTCACTCTCAGTTGAACAACTTTCTTGAGCAAAACTGTCTCCTCAATCCTCTACAATCCGTATTTCTTTGCCAATACTCCACCCTATCTGCCTTATTAAAGATTACCCAAGACCTCCAATCATCTGCAGACAAACAAAAAATATTCATCCCAGTCCTTTTCGACTTCTCAAATGCCTTCAACTCTGTCAATCATAATATCCTCATTTCCAAACTCCAAAGCCTACCCATATCAAATAGAGTTCTGAAATGGTTCCTCTCTTTTTTATCCCACTGCAAGGCAGTTGTTATTCTGACAAATCTCCTTCCTCGTCTCTTCAATTAACACGACATGTTCCTCAGGGCTCCTCACTCTCTCTAACTCTGTTCTCCATTTATATTAGCGACCTTCCTGACTCCATTCGTCATTCCCACTATCACTTACTTATATGCAAACGATCTACAAATTTACTTATCGTTCCAACCATCTGAGATGCACGAGGCTACCCGAAAACTACAAGAGGATATTGACTGTATCCATAGGTGGGCAGATAAAAAATAACTAAAGCTGAATGCAGACAAAACCAAAACAATCCTCATCGGCTCCAAGCACCTCATTAATTCCCTTTCTTCGCCTCCTTTACTTTACCTCAATAACCGTCCCATCCATTTCCAACAGTCAAAAACCTCAGTGATCTTTGATCAGAATCTTTCTTGGAACAACATTTCCCAGATTACCCGTAAATTCATAATTATCCTTAAACAATTCCTTCGATTCTGTGATTCCATTCCAAAAACAACAGACAACTCATTGTAACATCCCTTGTTTTCCTCCACTTCGACTACGGTTGTCTGGTGTATGGAAGGCTGTCAACAGGACTGGAGACGAGAATGAAGAAAATTATGAATTGCTTCATAAGATTCATCTTTGAGATTCTCAAGTGTTCTCATATTTCTTGTTTGTACACAGAGTTGAAGTGGCTTTATTCTACTTCCTGACAGCAATGGTTTTTCTCTTTTTTCCTTCTTGGTGTTTTTCTTTTTCAAGTCCTTAGAACCAAAAACCCTTCCTACATCTTAGAACTCCTTACTTTATCCACTCTCTCAACACCAGATCTCAAACTATAGAATTATATATCCCCTCACATTAAACCAAGTCCTTCTTCATTCGTGCTACCTCCTTCTGGAACTCCTTACCCATCTCCATACGTCAAACCATGTCCATAAACTCCTTCAAACAATTTCTATTCCACCACCTACTACAAATTCAAACTTCCGCAAGCTTGTAAAAATTTATTGGTTATATAATTATGTTGGTCACCAGCAGTTAATTGATATAAGTCATTTTATTTTTATTTATTCACTTTTTTTTATATCTGTTAACTGGAAATCTGTTAACAAATAAGTGGCTTCATATCAAAGATGGGCGTCTATCATTTTCAGAAAGTGGAAAAACAATCAAATTTTTGTTTTATAAATTGAACTCAGACTATTTCTGATGATTTAATTTAAGAATGTTCAAGTTGAATTCGAAAAACAATCATTAGAATAAGTCTCAATTGAAGAATATTACAAAAATTGGCACAGATGTCTGTCCGTCTTTGATATGAGGCCACTCAAATGTAAACTGAAGATGTCAAATGTCTTGCCAACACAGTATGTGATTTTCAACAGTTAACCTGTTAATATTTATGGAACTTTCATTCTTCTTTCTAGATAGAATGGTCATAACATTATGTAGGATTTATTATTTCTAGTTTTCACATGAAAATAAAATATTAATTTGTAGAATAGAAAAATTTAAATCATAAAAACTTTTTTAGATCAACTTGAAAAAAAAAATGTAACAGAAAATTTAAAATAATAAACATTATAACTATTCTAGTTAGTCTATAATTAATAACATAAGATAAACAAATTACATTAAATGATAAAAGAGCAATAAATTAAGTTATTAGCATTCAACCATAAACAGTAGGTAATGATTCGATGGCACAAAGACATTATGGTTATATGGAACCAACACCATTTGATGCTAACATAGAAAAGGGATTGTTTAACTATCCTCTGAAGTCATATACGATTCTTGTTTATCTAAGCCACAGTTTCAAATAGTCAGCTTTTATAGTTCAAGTATAAGCCATTATATTTTATATTAGAACAATTGGAAACCTTTCTAAAACATGTGTACATGCTAAAAGGTATTTGTTTACCACATAATAAGTCCAGTGGCCATAGTACACCTTTATAGGAAAACAATTCTCTTACTTAAACATAAGAATCATTTAAAAAATAAATAAATAAAACATAATTGCTAAATGTTAAAACAAGTCTCACACTTGTAATAAATGCCATAATAAACGACCGTTTCTAATAATAAATCTTTACCATTATATATTACGAATAACATTTGCAATAATAATAATGATATAACCTTCAATTATAAAAACCTTAATTAAATTCCTAAATAAAACTAAAAAAACATTAAGATTTTGTCCTATGTTGATAAGGTTTAAACAACTAAACAAATATAAATGTCTTTGGCCATCAAAATATACTTTTACATGCAATATGTAAAGGCTTTAACTTCTCAAAATGATCATAATGTTAAGATGAAACAAAATAATTTTTATTTTTTTAACCTGAAAACCAATTAATTAAATCTTTTATCAAACATAAAAAACATAAACATATTAAGTCCCCGATTGCATCTTTACATAAAAAATACCTTATAGGTTTTGGAATTTATAAACTACAAAAAAAAAATATATATATCTCGGAAGTAATTGTATTATTACAAAGCTAACTCTATGTAGTCTGTTTATAATCAGTCACTCAAGTGTTAGAAACTGATAATGATTCAATGTGGAATAGAAATAATGCTTAATAAATAATTAAATTGTAAGGGTACACACCCTAAACTAAAATGAGAATCAATAAAATGCAATAATACAGTAATACAATAAAGCAAAATGTTCTTAAAAAGTTCATCACACAACTTACCTTTCACAATATCCATACAAATTCTGATCACCCTTCATTGCATTACAATCAGTATTTCCACTTAAAAAACAGAATTAAAAATTAAAACATAATAAATTAAGATTCATTTAACTAGAAATAACTATAGAAGGTTCAAAAATAGTTATTTTTCATCAGAATTCCTACTTCATTTTTGGCAGTCTTAACAGTGCATTCAATTGATTTTTTATAAAAAATTAACTAAAATCATTAACTTTAACTATAAAAGTTGTTACGTGTATGTAATTAGCTTATGTGTATGTGATATCCCCACCACAATCACGTTTCCCGAAACGTGACATTATATCTCAGGTTATTTAGATATCTTCTCAATGAACTACCTTTACAAATAATAAAAGAAAGCACTTACCTTTCATATTTTATGGCTGTATCATCCCAACAAGGCTGATCCATACCTTGTCGTTAACGATGCAAAACTATTGCTTAATCTGTTGTAGTTAAGATCCACTAGACCGAACGAAATATCACACTGGGAACACATTAAATGAACAGGAATAGATTTAACCGCTCGAGATAATCAACTATTCTGTTTAATAGATACAAACAATTCATTCGAAAAATAACAACAACAAAATTAAGAACTAAAAACAGAGAAAGGAGTGGAAAGTAGACATTGGCCTCATCAACACCTGATTATCAGTCGGAAGGTTACACAGGTAAGTACATGTTATGTTGCCATACACTGTAGGTTATGGTAATTATGAGTAGAAAAAGATGGTGAAAAAAAGAAAGAAAAAATGTATGCAGAAATATTTCTGAAACATATAATTATATATCATCAATATAACGCCAAAATGATTTATCAGAACGTGTTGAACTACAAAAATTGGGTTTGAAATTACAGTTGCAGAAGATCCATAACTAATTTTTTATTTAAAATAGTATATCACGTTAAATTCAGTTTGCCTTATTTGTACTGTTATTATTATTCAGTTTTATCCAAGAAATCTCCATCATAAAATCGGATGCCTAGAAATAACAAAATTTAGAGGTGTGATATTTTGTTGTTGGATATATCCAACGATATATTATGGAATTCCTATTCCAAATTATATGCTTTGGGGTGGTAACTGTCTGATTTCATTATTAATGGTCTCCACATAATTCATAGCATATTTTAACTGAAAAACGTCTTTAGTAGGGTTGGGTAAGATTCTAAGTATCAGATACTTTATATCTGATACAAGTAGTAGATACAACCTAAAAGTATCTGATACAGTTCCTCACATGGATACAAATGGTTTCCCAGACCTATATTTATTTGTAGATTAATATATTCAAGCTTATTTATTTTTTTTTTATTTAATGCTAATTGGTATAAAACTTCTCTAAAGTTGACAATTCATTTGTTTTTGTCCAGATTTTGACTTTTTTTTTACAAATTTTATTTGTACGTAATACTTATTTATAAATTGTAATTACGATTCTATATTTACACTTCAATTGATTAAATATATTTTCAAAATTACTATATTAGTAAAGTTTTGTTATACTTCTTTTTACTTTTAATCCATAAGAATATTTGGACCGAAGAAAGATAAGTGTACCGGAGAGTTTAGACGGTTACACAGCGCCGATTTACTGGAACTGTATCCGGTTAATATAATTGAAATCACGGTGAAATAATGAGCTAGTAAAATTGAACTTAGTAACGAAAGAATTCCTAGAAGTTTAATATTTCTATGCTGATTGCTAAATGTTCGAGGGGCAGACAGAAGCGAAGGTGAGAAGATTAAGATAAACACGGTTTCACAGGCGGATATATGGTAATATTGGAGAATTCAGCCCCAACGTCCCTCCCCTTCCAAAAAAAAAAAAACGGTAAGATATAACCATGTTTAATACAAAAAAATATTAAAAACTATCTCTTAGAGTATTATTGTTTGTGTAATTACATTTAATAGAACTTCAAGAATCACTTAGACACCATTTCATATAGGTAGTTAATTTATTTCTTTTTTTTTTCAAATTAATTAGTGAATATATGAAAAAAAAATCTTTCGGGCTGAAAGATTAAATCCTCCCCTCAAAAATTAAATCCTGGATCCGCTAGTGCACGGTGGGCCAGACCCCCTTACCGTGCACCCCCCTCCCTCCCCACATCCCTATAAATTGCATATCGTTGTGTTCCTTGTAACTATTTATTTAAAAAAAAAAAATTTTCCACAAAAAAAAGGTGAACGCACTGCCCCAAAATGGCATCCAAACATGGCGTACTGACAACTTTCACTTTAGTTATTTTTTTGGTCACTGAGAATCAGCATTTGGCTTAATTTCGTCATAGCTTTTCTTAAAGCTGGATAGTCAAAGAATAATAAAACATGAAAAAATATTTAAAAATAATTGGCTTAGGCAATAAAAAACATCAGTAAAATCAATATCATTAACAAAACAATTTTCAAGTTGAATTCAAGTTTAAGACATTTCCACAAGGTCTCGTTCTTCTGGCCTTTACACCCCTTTGCATAGATCTGCTTCATTTCAACATTCCTTTATTGTCCCCTCCCCCACCTTTTTGAGTTACATCCCACTTAAAATCCGCCATGCACCATCCCTATCCACATTCAAAACCCTCTTATTCCAATTTCTCTTCACAATCCAATCAGATGCTGGTTAATTATGTATTATGTAACAAGGATAATTTTTTTTCTTTTCTTTCCATACACCATTATTTTATTTTATTTTTTGTTTATTATTTATGAATTGGAAAGATTTAGCAATAGAATCAGAATCACTTTTGGCATAGCACTGTGAGGTGATGAATAAGAAATAAGGAATTGTCTGTTGTTTTTATCCATTTTTTTTTCATCTACAAGATTGTGTATATTTTAGACGTATTTCATTTCTTACATTCCTCACTTGTATACATAAATATGTTTCTCTATCTTAATCTCCGTGTTTTTTTTAGCTTACAATATCATTCTGTATTATTGTATAACATATATAAATAATTTAGTTTCTATTAATCATTTTTTTTGGTCGCAATTGTTTTCTCATGAAATCAATTTAATGCCCCTTCCTAATTGTATTTATCTATTTATTGTTATTTTATATCTCATATGCCGGGATAATGCAATATTGTGATCCCCTTGCTCATCTTCTGTCATTAATATATCTTTAATCTATGTATATATTTTGAATGTTTTAGCTGTTCGGGTTTTAACATAACAAGTCAATACTTTTTATCTACGTACTGTTATGTAATTCTTTTTTTCTTTTCTTTTCTTTTCTTTTTGTTATTTTTCCAGTACAATTATAAGTATAGCTGAGAAGATTTTAATTTATTTTTTAATTGTTTACATACTATTATTTAAGTTGTTGTATATATTTTTTGAATCTTTATTAGGTTAGTTTTGGCCAGATATGTATTTTTTCTATATTACATATATTTGTTTTTATTTAAAGGTTTTATTTAAAGGCGGTGAGAGATGAACTCTCAATTCTCAAATTTGCCGTGGAAAATGTGATAAAATATTCACCTACAAATGGAAGTGTGTACATGAGTGAATCTAAAATCCTAGGACAAGTTCCTACATATAATTATCTTTGAATACCTTCTACCTGCGTAACTACTTCTAGGCCTTAGCTTAGAAGGTCTAATAATAAATCTATTCGACTTTTCCTATTTTCTTAATTTGTATTAGTTTACATATTTTATTCCTTCATGTAGATTAATTGTCATTCATTTTGGTCTTATTTTTGTTCTACAAATATTGGGGGGTAAGGAGGCGTTCGCCCGCAACTCTCGCAAAAAAGTCATACACCCAGACTGTTTCGCGGAACTTGGTTGTCTGGAGTCTGAACATCTTAAAACATATATTTCCGTTGAAAACTCAAATTCGAAATTTTTCTTTCCCTTCCCATATTTCACATATAGATAAGTGAAATCAGCAAAGTGGTGAAATAAGGTAACAATAAAAAAGAAGATTGCATTTTTTAAAAACTATTCTTTTCTAAAGAAGATTTATTTTTAAAAAGGTTTAATTTGCAGGAAGAAATTTATAAGCGTCTTCTCGCCACGTCTTCCAGCATGCTGACCTGTAACATTGCGAATTAAATTAGTGTTTCGTTTTTATAGAGAATGATTATTCAACTTAATTAAAAGAAAATAATAACTGATGATACTTATTGCCCATAAGTAAGTCAGATCGTCTTATTATTCAATAAAAGGAAAGTTAAAACATAAAATAGCCAACAAAGCACTATATATTAAATAGTTTTATTAGTTTTAGCCGCAAGTATTTAATTTTTGACAGTTGTAATTGAAAAAAAAAAAAATCTTGTCGGCAGTGTTTACCATAAACTTAAAGAAAAGTTTAGAGAAATCACTGATAGAGGAATTTATTTTAGTAAAATGTTCTACTTCATAAAGTGATAAAAACCAATTTCATCTGAAAAGACAATTCAACAACAACGCCCTTTCCAGTTGAAACCTTTAATATAAAAATCTCACTAGATGAAAATGGTGTTATCACTTTAAGAAAATTTGTCTCATTAGATTATCCTTATGAAAACATTTTTGAGCTAAAGGTATACATGAAAAGTAAGAGGAGAGGATGGCCGAGCAAGTTGGGGCGTGTGTCCCAGAGTGCCCGGTTCTGAACGTTGTGGGTTCGATTTCTACCTGCGCTGGTTAGTTTTCATTTCTCGGCGACCCACACAGAAGCAAGACTAAGGTTTCTTGGACATTGGCTCTAATTTACTCGGAAATTGCAGTAAATCGCTCAATTTTTTTCTGCTTATGTTTTTGAGGGAACTGAATTTGAATTCAAGCCATTCGCCAAAATAAATATTATAAAAATATATGCGGTAGATACAAATAGATTATTTAAAATTCTTGTCTTGTATTGTAAACATCATATTGTTCGGATATTGTATAATTTATTACCTGTTTCATAACGAAATATTAATAAATAAAGTTACTGGTATGTAATAATAAAAAATATTTTTTAAAACTTAGCGTTTAAACTCGTGATATGTTTATAATTTGGTCAGTATTGACAATTAGACGTTATATAGTCAAAAACTGTGTCTGTAGTAACTCGAATACACTAGTAAAAAATAATGGTAATCACTCTAAATTCAATGTTCCGGCATGTTATTTCCTCAATAACTTTCGAGGTGGCCGGTTGGGGCAGGGTATGAAAACTAATTTTAGAAGTTTAAATCTTTCTTAACAACAGGGTCTACCTAGTTTTTCAGACGAATTGCGAAATGGGCCAAAATCTTGCAATTGTTTGAAACGTCGTAACACTTATGTTTTTTCTTTAAAATCGATGTCCTTTGTCTTAGGATTAACTAGAAGTTCGTAATTCTGTCCAGCACATTCTGTTAGGTTTGAACAAATATATAAACATGTACATCTATGGTCTCTGGCCATTACTAGTTAAGTCGACAAATGGTCCTCACGAGTTTCATGGATTGAGGTCATTTTTCATGCGTTCTAAGCAACATAAATAAGTTAGTAATTTCACAACTTCTCGTCTAGACTAAAATTGTTAGTGCTATGAGTTACCAACTTCTTTACGCTATTCAGAATGCTTGGAAGATGATCGTAAATAACAGAATTCGTGAGGACCATTTGTCGACTTAATTAGTTAATGACCAGAGATCAAAGATATAAACATGTATGTTTGTAACAAATA